CAGTTTGTGATTAAATTATACTTGTCGCACACTAACACAGAGTATTTATATATATTTATGAGCCATCGTCCATGAATTAAGTTATCTTGGAAATGCTAGAGCATGAAGAGAGGTGTAGAATCACGAGGTTAGCATAGCAAACGCATTAAGATGGGCATGCCTTTTGCATCATCTACTTTTCAGACATATTATTTTTTTACCATTATACAATTTAACCTTTAGTCGTAATCAAGCATTTTCTTATTATCCGAGTCGAATATTTGCTGACAACTCAAATATTCAAAAATACAAGTTGCCTACTAGCAAAAGTCGAAGCTCACTTTCAATATATATTAGTATTAAAGAGTCAGAATTAGTCGAGATATATTCGCATGAGAGTTGAAACTATAAGAAGATTTGTATAACCAGCGGGAATAAAATGATCATTTGAATGAGTCTCACGTCTAAACAATTTTAATTGTTTGTAAGCTTATATAATGGTATTAATATGGTCATCATCTAATTTTTTAGTTTGATTAAGGTTCAAGTTTCTGTATTTTTTTATTAACACCGAATAATTAATTATTGAGAGGAGTGTACATATATTTGAATAATGTTTTCTCTATGAAAAAAGTAAATATATAACTTTCTATAGCAATCTCATAGAGATATTGTAAGTTGATCCATGTAACTTAATCTACGGAGAACAAAAAACAACATTGCTCAGGCAAAATGTGACCGGTAAATTTTTAATTGACATACAAAAACTAAAATATACTATAAAAGAGTATGCAGATTTTGAACAAAATATGACCGCGCCACCGCAGTTAGAATTGAACTTGATAGGGTCATGACGACTGTCTTTGGAGAGGTCTAATCCCTCAGTGGTCTTGAATTCTTTAACAAAGAAGTCGAGCAAAGCATTATCGAAATCCTCTCCTCCCAAGAATGTATCACCATTGGTCGCTTTCACTTGGAAAATCAATTTCATGTATTAGAAAGATCATCAAACAAAAGGCAACAGAAGAAGACATGACAAACATAAATCATTTGAGAGATAAATACCTCGAAAACCCTATCAGAAATCTTCAAAACAGATATATGGAATGTCCCACCACCAAGATCCAACACATCTTTCCTTGCTTGCCTCTGAGCATCATTGAAGTAAGTTGGAACAATGACAACAGCTTTCTTGACTGATTTTCCTAGGTAAGCTTCAGCTGTCTCTTTCATCTTTGTCAACACTAATGCTCCAACCTAATTAGGAGAATAGTGCCGACCATTGGCTTCAACACATGCATCGTCATTAGGTGCACGCACAATCTTGTAAGGCACCATCATCATTAGTTTCTGTGTTTGTGGATTGTCAAATTTCCTCCCAATCATACGTTTTGTTCCGAATATTGTGTTTGTTGGGTTAGTAACAGCTTGTCTTTTGGCTGGTTTACCAACAAGAAATTCTCCTTTCTGGTTAAATGCAACAACTGATGGTGTGGTTCGAGCATCTTTCAGCAGTTTCAATGACTTTCGGATTCTACAGAAAATATCAAAACACACAAAGTGTAGCTCCAAAACATTGAAATCTTACAATACCAAGAAACAATATATATAATCACACAATCTCACCTTCCCTTCCATGACTGCAACACATGAATTAGTTGTACCCAAATTAATACCGATGATATCATTACCAGCAGGCGTCGAGTTGAATCATGTAGAAGAAAGTTTTAGTAAAGAGAAACATAGCAATATCTTGTTGGTACCAAATATAGAAAGAAAGATCAAATACCTAAAAGCTCTGGAGAAGTTTCTCCAGTTCTGACCAACATAAGAACCGTTCAGTGATGTTTTCACTGTGCTCCACAACTGCAATCAAATCGACCCTTTAGATCAATCCGACGGAAGTAAACAGTAACAAATGAGTGAATCTAGGTCACTACAAAATCCAAATCCGTTTACACATCGCGTGAATACAGAAGAAGACTTACGCATATGTAAGCTGAGAAAGGAGCGGAAGTGACTCCACGGGCGGAGGTAGCCATGGTTTCGAAGATTCGAGAGGCGAATTGATCAGTGAAGAAGATGCAAAATGATGCGATGAAAATGCGTACGTGTGTGGGTTTAGGGTTTTTTGAAGGAACGAAAAAGATATCTAAAGAAGTAAGAAGGTTCTAGACGGTATGTATTTAGTCGTATGTAGACATACATGTGTAGAGTGTGTATAGGAAACAGTATATAAGTCACCTGTATTGTACATTTTACAATTTATGAAGAATACATTCTGATATTATACTTACTTCCTAATTGGTATCGTCTGAAAAGTTTTGTTTGGGTTCAGTTTTGAAATATAGAGTACTAAACATCAATTTCAGAGGACCGATAAGAAAATGTTATACATTTGCACTTCTTCATTTCTTTTTCAATAGCCGTTCGATCTCACCGCCTTAACCGTAGGGGTGCCCAAACCAAACTAAACCGACATATGACCAGATACTGATTTATATGGAATAACTTTCGTACTCTTGCTCTTTTTAGTACCATAAAGGTAACTAATTTATATGGAATAAGTTTATATCATAAGGTAACTAATTTAGTACCAAATGATTTATATGGAATAACTTCGTACTCTTGCTCTCTTTTGAAAAAGTAGTCGAAACATACATTCAAATCATGCGAAATATAATAAATACTAAACTCGCTTAAACCATTTCGAAAAACAAATTTCTATTTGGGATGTTGCATATGTCGTGTTTTTTATTTCAGGCTTCTGATGTCAGAAAGAGAAGAACATAAATAATGGGCTTTAAAAGTAAATAACAAAATAAAAGGGGGAAATAAAGAATATATGTAAAGATTGAGTTGTTGAATGCAATTTTTAGCCGATTTTTTCTCCGCTTCAAAGTCTCAGTCGTGAACAACAAAAACAAAAACTTCCAAATCCCAGCCGTAGATGACTTTCCGGCGTTTCTCCGGGAGATTTCTGCCGGCGTTTCAACCTCATACAATGTTGGATTCGAAGCTTCACGGGTTTTCCGATCAGATGCGGCGCTCGAAGCCATAGCCAATGCTTTTAGAAGAGAAAGTACCAAACTTAGTGCCATACAATTATCCTTCCTTCTCCGGTGCTTTTTCAGCTCTCTTCGCTCGTCATCTTTGTTCAATATAGTTAGACAATGTTTTTGAGTAACCCTTCCAATCAATTGAACTCAATTTATCTATCAAAATCATTAAATGCTACCATGTGTAATGGTTTTTGTGCATAGATGATGAGAATCACGGAACATGTTATTATCATACAGAGACACAATGTACAATGAGTCAGATAAAAAGAACCATTCCCACAGTTCTCTATCGTCTTTTGCGCTCATACACAACATGTGCAACCACTGACGCTGAAACCGAAACTGGAACTCTCATCTTCCCATCTCCTGCAATCAAATCAATGAACTGGTAACCTTGGAAATTGAGTTACAGTGGAAGGAAAAGGAGTTATTGGATGAAAGAATGGTTACAGTTACTGACTTGCTGGTTTCCCTGCGCGGTTTCAGAGAGACTGAGTTCCATGTCATGTGTTTCAGACCATCCTGGCTCATATGTCTCAAGGAATCCGATTTTAGCTTTGTTCGGGAGGTCATGAGGATGAACAAATGGAACTCCATGCGGCCACCCAATCTCTCTTCTTATACTCGCACAAGGGCTGTTCATTACGTTGTGGTTATTCTCACACTCCTTGAGGTTGCAGAATCTAAGTTTGATTCCTTTTTTATCCGCAATCTCCTGAACTCTTTCCTTGAGAACTCTCTGCGCTTCTAATCTCAGCCGCTTAGATGGTGGTAGCGGTTTGCATCTGGAATCACTCTTTCTCTGCTTTTTCAGCTGTTTTATTGATCCTGTACCATAAGGAAGGCCCTACTGTTAATCACAAAACTTTTATCTATAGGAGCAACTTAACATAACATGAACTATGAAAGAACAAAAAATGGCCACTAAGCGTTAAAACTGAGAAAAGTAAACTTGTATACCATCCTGGGTTTGAGGGATGGTGAAGCTTTGCAAAGTCTGTCTGTTAAAGAGTTCATCATTCGAGTGAGATCTCTGCATGAAGTCATCGACCGAAACCGGGAGCTGAAACTGAGCTTCAACACCATGACCTGCAGCTCTCATCTCTGAGCAACTCAGATTGGTCATCGATTTAGGCATGAGTTTAAAGGCCAAGGAGAACCTCCCTTCTATACTTCCTTGCATAGTGTTTAAATCGGTTCTGTGCACTGCAGGACTCACATACCCTGCTGTAGCCTGGTAAAGAGCTAGCCCCGGGTACACAACCGCCTCTTGAGGACCAAGATCCACATCAACTAAAATCCATTGCCCGTGCATGTCCCTGATGTGCAACCCTGCCTTATCTGACTTAACAAATGAGATCAGACTCTTGTCAAGTTGGTGATCATGATCTGAATACATGATGAGCTGCTCCTCTTCTGTTAAGTTATGATGCTGAGCTCCATGAAAAGACGGCCTTGCATAACAGCAAACAGATAACACAGAAGACGAAACCTCACTATTCCTCAAAGGGACATTATCAAGAATCTCAGTAAACGGACAGCTTCTCAAATTTAAATAGAAACCAATTGCATCAAGAACAACCCGAGCAGCTTTTCCTAGTAACGTAAAGATATCGGGCAAACCAGCAGGAGGGTACTCCATCGAATTGGTTGGCTCAGTGAGGGTCAAACCAGGTCTATACTCGTAACACTCTTGCCACGACTGAGGATCTGCATAGTAGCCAGAGGTCTTGCACCATTCTCGCGAATCGTTTGTGTGGATCATACTATTAGTGGCTGGATATGAATCCCTCTGGTGAAAATAGAGCCGAGCAGAATCAATACCGGATCTAAGGAGAGCTCCATCGTTAGCGGGAAACTGAATGATGGCTGCAGAGTACTGTGCCAGAGATTGAGATAAAGTAGTCACTGCTAACTTGTAAGAATCAGAAGGTAGACCTTCATTGGGAACTAGATCACAAACCTTGACACGACCCAATGTAGGCATCCCATTTCCAGCCATCAAAACTATACACCAAATTCCCAAATAACCTAAAGCAATCAGTAGATTGGCACAAGCTTAAAGTTTGAAAATTGTTGAAGACCTTCTCAATCCCTTGTTTCTGATAAAGTCAAAATGGGAGAAGAACACATCTCATGCTTCTGTAAGGTCTGATTTTCCAATAGAGGAATTGATCATCTCTATAGAATAAGCAGATTCGATGAAGAAGGAAACTTCTTAACCCTCAACAATCAATATTTACAGAAAGCACAAGAGATACATTTCAGACATTCAGACACAGAACCCTCTTTTTGCAGCCCAGAGACCAAAAAAAAAAAAACCGAAGCTTTCGAAGAATTCACGATACGAGAAGTAAGACATGAACCCTAGAGGCGAATTCGAAGAGAAGCCATGGATTCGAATCTGCAAGAGATAAAAGAAGAATCAAAAATTGACCGTCGCCTACCAGACCAGGTTAAGGTGTCTCCTTTCGGACGACAAGTAAGCTTCGAGAGATTTAAGCGCAGGGGAACGACAAAAGTAAGGCGAAAGATCAAAGCTTTAACCAATCTCTCTGGAGATTTTGATTTGTCAACTGCCAAAGAATTTTTAAAAAGTTAAAAATCAAAGCTTTCATGGATGTGCGACTCTGTTCTTGTATAATTTATTTCTTACATAATGACCCAATTATTTTCAGAAGTTTCAATTTTCTTATACCATAAACTTGTTAGGTTCGGTACTTGAATGATACAATGGATGTAGAAATGGGGTTTGGATTTTGGACAAACAGAATAAAACAGAGAATGGTAACCGAATCCAACTGAAGCTAAATTTTGGCTATGTTCAGGTCTGATTAACATAAGAAAATTGGCATCAAATCCAATCCAGATATTCCAATGGAAGTGTGGGCAAAGAGCAAGACAATCTTCAAGATCATCAAAGTTCGTTAGCTGTTTTGTCTATTCGGCAGGTTTCATTCTATCCTTGGTCACTTGAGAGCGTCTACGTTTAGCTCCATCGTCACCTAGACGCAGTCCAACGCATAAATCCCCATCGCAACTACCATTTGTTAGACCCCCAACAAGATCATCCCTCGCAGTCGTCTCAGGCCAAGCAGACGCAGAACATTGACCGCTGAAGCTCGGCATGAACTGGTGCTCCACACTCGGAGGAACTCCATTTGCTTCAATTCTCTCTTCGAGATCGATGTGTTGGACCTGGAGAGGGCCTAATGATGACTCTAGCTTCTCTTCTGGGGCTTCTCTCTTCCCTTTCTTGAGATTCACATACGGAGGTGATGAGTCTGCAACTATTGAGCTCATCCCCGTAGTTGAAGCCGCTCTTTGTTCTTGCACTGCCGCTGAACAAATACAACAACCAACACAAGTCTTGTTACTTCTATATGCTGAAGAAGTAAAAGCATACGGAAGAAGGAATTATTACCTTTCAACCCGTCATCGGTGGTGATTAGATCAAGCTGGAGATGTGTAAGAAGCCTTCCCAGATCAACTCCAGTGGTCCAGCTCTCTGGAGACTCACCCACTTTCAGTTTCAGCCTCCCGCGGCTTCCAGTGCCTCCCCATATGATACCAATAGGCCTTGCCTTCTCCTCTCCTTTCATTACTATGAGGCTTCCGCTATCTCCTTCAAGATCAAACGGACTGCGATGGTTCTCCCCAACAACGAGAAAATCAGTGAGGAAGCACACTCCTCGCTCGTCATTGTACTCCAACGCATAAGCCAGCACGGTTCCTGTAGTCAAGCCAGAGCTTCTGCCAACTTTCACTACCTGTTTCCCTACTAAACTGCCAACTGGAGACTGCAGCTCTATGGCTCTGACCTCTCCAATTTCTCCTACTCCACCTTTGACAGATGTTGTGACCCGTGACAGGTCGTAGTCGTCAGCAAAGGGGATGAATGCACCATCTGCTCTCACAAACGTCTCTACAAAATACATTAAACGTTATTGCGGATATTGCTGCTTCATCGATGCTAAAACTCAAAAAGTCTGACGTTTCCAAACCTGGATTGGTGCCAGCAAAAATGCCAAACCAGAGATCATCCGTGATGAAGGAAGTAGCTCTCTCAACCGCTCCAAGATAGACCCCGGGGCCAAGGGCAGGAGGGAGAGGATGAAACATCTTCTGGCTCGGGTAGTCTAAGTTAACGGCAACATGACGGTTAGTCACAAACCCAACTTGCCTACCTCCAGTTTGGCTCCTCACTATTGCCCCCAAAGTCCCACAAGTCTCCTGACTTGCCACCTGATTGGGGGTTAGGAGCAAACACAACACAAAGTTATCGACTTTGCGATCACTCCACAAAACCAGATTACAATGAGCGTGCTATACCTGAGAGCCTGATCCAATAAAGGGATCAGACCCTTGAAGATCATCAACAATGTCAGTAGTAAATGTCTGTTTAGGAGTAGGCTGATGATCAGGTTCGCCGAAATACGAAAACTCAACCACATCCACATCACACCAAATCCCTCCTGCTCCCTAATTCAATCCCTCCCAAAAATCACACATTCACCAATCAATCACAATTTCCATTACCAATACCATCAAACTTTCAAAATCAAAATTCATACCTCAAGAGCAGTAGGAAGACACTGAAGAGGACTTAGCCATTGCTTATGAACTTTCCTAGACACAAACACAATAATCGCCGGTATATCCGTAAGAACCCCTCTTTTGATCCGGAAACCAATTGCGGTTCCAAGACTGTAACAACGCAAGATCTTGCTGTGAAAGGCTCTTATGGTCATGAGCTCTAGCAAAGTGGTGGCTCGTTGTCCTTTAGGCTCTGTAGAAGCTGGCTCAGGAGAAACAACA